TTTGTTTGTCACCAAGTCACATGGTTCTGTCTTCAGTGTCCTATTTTTCTTTTTTTAAATTTCTTTTTCTGGGGGACAAAATTAGCCATTTAAATAAAGTTCTTTTCTAGTGAATAAAGAGGGTTCTTGGAGCCAGAAATCACTCAAAAGAAAGTCTTTGACCCTACCCATGGAAAGGCCCAGAGATTTCTCTAAATACCTCTTGCCAAACTTCCTCGTGTTGTGATTGGATGTTTTTTGGTTTTGCATTATTGGGTGCTGAATACATTTTGAAATCCTTTTGTTCTCTTCCCTAGGGCTTCCATTACCCAGGGCTTCAACTCATTCCTAAATTAAAGAGTTCTTTCAGGAGATTTCTTTTAAGAGTCATGTCACAACAGAAAGGGCACTCTCCCATTCTCCTCAATCCCGAGGGCATCTCAGGTTGTGTCTGCTCTTACGTTGCACCTTCGTTGTGTTTCTTTTTGCTGCAGCAGTACACTGGCTGTAGCAGAGGCAGATGGTTTATCTAATACCTTTGCTGTAGACTCACATATCCTTTGCTCCCAGGCCCAGCTCATTAAATAACATCTACAACAACAGAGGAAGGCTCCAGAATGGGCACGTCTAGTGTGAAGCCTGGCCAGATCTATTTCATTGCCCCCTTTCCTAAGGGCAACAGGTGTTAGGAGCATTATGGGAGCCACACTAGGAAGCAACATGAACCTTTATTATGTTCTCTTGGGGATCTGAGGGATTTATAAGGAGCACACCTCATTCTGGACTTCTGTGCTGAGGAAAAACACTGATTTGGGGCATGGACTGGGCACATGCTGCTGGTGTGCTTGTAGGGTGAAAGTACTAGTACACTTAGCTCAAGTCATTAGGACTACGTGAAACAAAACCTCCCAGAGGAAACCTTTTCTCCGTTCACATCAGAATGCCCAAACTCTAACTGCTCACAGGCTGGGAACGGGATTTCTTGGTCCTTGTAGAATATTGGGACGATACGAAATAAAACCGCTATGAGTCCTAAACAAAGCAAATACAAGTCATTCTTTCTAATTTCAGGAGCTATCATGACCTCCAAGATGCCCAGGAAGAAGGGATGGCCCGCAGCTGGAACATAAGCAGGAAACTATCCACCAATTTCTCATGGCACAAACAGATTCAGAGCATTGGAAATTTGGGGAAAAGAAAGTCTTATTAAGAGCTAAAGTTTATAACTCAATTAAAATATATAGTAAAAAACAATTTGATATAGTTTTATTTCAGGTTTTTTGTTTTTTGTTTGTTTTGATCTGGCTTATTTCTCAATCAGATCCAGGTGTTCCAATTCCTTCCTTTTTAGGGCTGTATTCTACACATGTGGGGTCTTGGGGATAAAAATATTGGCATTTAATAGGGGGAAATTGTCCACTATGCTGAGATGCTACCAAGTTTTTAGTGCCTAGAAATTTTATTCTTCATAAACTGTATCTAAATGCTTTGGGAAACATTCATTTTTGATATTTTTCTTACCCTTGTTCAGCTGACCCAGTTTTAAAATCATAAATTGCTAAAAAATATTATTTTCCATACCAGTTCTTGTACTCATCCCATATTTATTCTAAGAGGTGTTAAATCTGGAACATTTGCTTCTATTTTATCTATTTATTCCCCCCTGGCTACTGAAAAAAATTTTCCTTGCACTTATAGCATCCTAGCATGAAGTTCTAAATGCAAGAAGATTGTTGGATTTGAAGTCACAAAATAAAAGGATTCATGTTCATCCTCTATTCTCAAAGCAAAATATGTTTCCCTATTTCCTAAGATGTTTGTGATTATTTAAAAGTAAAGATTGACGATCTGGATGCATCTCTATCCTTTTGAAAGAGGTATGACTCGCTTACTTTCTAAAATGCAGGTCAGTTTGGAAAGCAGCCCTTTCAGAGGCTAGAACGTGTGGCAATGGCCCCACAGCAAGCTCATTGCTCCTCCAGGTTAGATTGTCCCCTCCAGCCCAGCCTCTTCCTCTCTCCAGAGAACAATCTGTCAATGATTTTAGGCTGCAAGATGTTTGAAAGGAATAGACACACATGACGACAAGCAGAAAAAGTCTACTGCTATGCAAACCTGGATGGTCCCTGCTGTCCTAATGATAACATCACCTCACCAAAATATCTTTAGGGATCCTCTGACATTGTTAAAAGAAGACATACTTCCTTTGAAGGAAAGTAATGAATATTAGGTTTTCAAGCCCAACTGGAATTCCTCCCTACATGTTCTATAACTATAGGTGGATTCTAACCCAATTGCTTAGCTTTTTACATGGCAAATTAGCATTACGGCAAATGGGTTTCCTTTGAATTTGAGAAGCAGATAGCTAAATCTGTGGCCCATAATGGCATCCAAATTCAACTTTTCTGGAGGTATTATGAATTCTGTCTACTCTGCTAAGGTTTAAATAAATAAGGACACTATTTTAAAAGCTACTGTCAAATAATTGAAAACATTTTAATGGGGCTTTTGGCTTTTATTTATAACATATACTAAGCAATATGTAATTTCCCTCTGGATTAAAAAATCTTTCTTTATGTCAATTTTTTCTTTCTTATTTTGTGGGTTGAATGACTTGTTTTCAAAATATCAAAACAATTCCATGACATGGTTAGTTAACTAATGCTCCCCCTGTTGGTTTTAAGTGGAAATATGAGAATCTTACACATTGCTATTTTTAAAAGCCAAGTTTTCAAGAGAAAAATGGACTTTTTCTTATTTAAAATCTGTTCTCTACTAACTTTTAAAACACGTCAATTTGGACACACAGTTCTTGGCAGTACTCCTCTTAGAAATCATGATGGGTGATATGCAACAGTCAATTAACCATCCAAGTCTACATTAAAACTTCTAGCAAAATATTTACTGAATTAAGGACACAGGAACAAATCACACTCACATATACTCCAGCTGCACTAACCCTACTAAACATCACCAAGAACTTATGGAAAAGATCTCATTTAACCAAAACTCTAAAATATATATGGGTAAAACCAATTTAGTCATTACAGAGCTATTTCCCTTGGAAGACTTCTCCTTTGCTGCACAGTTTTTGAAAATAAGTTGCTAAAAGAAAAATCGGTTAAATGAAAAGTAATTTTGAAACTAAAATAATCTATTTTTTTCTCATTCACAATTCTAGTTTGGTGTTTCTGCTTTGTTTAAAGTTTTAATTTTCCCCCTTAAGTGTGTTAAAAATATGCCCAGCAATGCAACCACCTTTGGCATTTTTGTTAGGTTTAAGAATTCCTACAGTTGGGTTGGAATCCCCTCAGGACACTGTCTATAGATAGAAAAATCCTTATTATAATACCTTGATCGGGACCGAAGAGAGAAATCCCAATTAGGAAGAGAGAGTGGCACCTAGGATGATACAATGGATTGGTGGCCTTTGAATGATGGATATTGGCATCTGGAAAGTGTGTTACTTTCTTGAAAACCTTTCCAAAAAGCAAGAGTTAATAAATCAGATAGAGAACGATCATCTTACTTTGCCCTCTCAACCACAGTGGAAATAGTCGGAAGGTAACATCTGAAAAGAAGAAAGTAATTTTGGCATCAAGGCTTCCTGCTCTGTCACAGGCTCTGCTATCACTGCTCTCTGTAGAGGTGAAGGGTGAGGAGCTACCGCAGTTCTGTAAGCTCCTCCCCAGGCTGACCACAAAGGGAAAGAAGCCATTTGTCAAGACCTCTAATCTAGTAGTGTTTCATCAAAGAAAACAGTAAAGTCCATGGAAATTCTAGAATCATTCAATCTCAATAAACTTTTAGAGAACAAAGAAATCTGTTTCTGAAAGTTAAAGTCCCTCCCATGAAAAAGAACAGAATTCTAAATGGATCAGTTGAAAAAAAAAATCAGTGGAGCAACCTAAGCTTGCTAAAAGTCAAAGAACTACATATCAAAATACAAAGCAGCAGTTCAAATTACAGCAGGGATGGGCGGCCACAGAGGCCCTCATCAACCCAGGCAACACTTACAATAATAAAAATTAAGAAAAATTAAAAAAAATATGAAGAAAATATCCTTCCTCTCTTTCAAATATAACTTTAATTGCCTTTTATTCTTTCTATCTGGAAGCAGTATCGCTAACCTTAACAGTCTTGACTTACCAAAAAATATATATATATGTGTGTGAAATAAAATAAAAGAGAAGGGATTGGTGGCAGTGTATGCAAAACCAAAATGGAAAAAAAATTACTTTTAACAATCTCACTTTTTTTTGTTTTTTTTTTTACACAAATACTGTTGTAAATATATTAAAAAAATCAGCATTCTATCTGGTAAACGTCACTTTTGCCCCTCTATAAAATTTTGAATTAAAAAAGCCTCAAGAACTTTTTATTATTCCCCCCACCCTCCATTTCTCTTTCTCTTCCACAAGAATATATCCTGACACTTTTTTTTTGTTTTTTTTTTGCAAAGATTGTTGGAAATAATCCTTCTCTTGTACCTAGAAACATAGGTGCAAACCTCTGATATCTTTGTTTTATCTGCATTCCTGCCTTTCATGAAAGTCCCTCTTGATTGTGCTGAGGCTGTGGCTCAGCAAAGACACTGAATAAATACGATAGCCACTGTTGCTTGATGCTTGTCCAAGTCTTCCTGGCTTCTGCTGAAAGGGGGGGCATGGAGGAGGTGGGCTGGGGTGTGTGGGCCCAAGCGGAATCTGGGGGAGAAGCCTGCCATTCCCCTTTCCCACATCACCAAACCCACTGCCCCTTCCCACCTCCACAGCCCTTTTATGAAATCAGACAACATGGTAGGTGGAAAACAGCAGGGCCTTTCCTCTGGGTTTTCAACCAGAAGTGATATTCCACAGTTTTAACTGGTTACTGTGAAGTCCAAGTGGCCAGAATTGTGAAAATGTCCACTGAAACACTGCAAGCGGTGTACTTAAAGACAGTCGGCCTTTTAGATTTCGGTATATATTTTTGTAGTGCTCTTCACAAGTGAAAAAAAAATTTTTTTTTAAATTTTTTAAAAAAGATTTTTTTTGTAAAGAAGGGTTGTATTTAGAGGCCAGTAGCTAGAGATCCAACCAGTGGACCCCTTGAAGCACTACCAGGCCTTAAGGCCACCATCCGAGGGAGGCCGGGAAAACTATTATTCACCCGAGCCTCCGGAAATGTAATGTACCAGCAGGCAAAAAACAGTTCTTCATGTAGTACAAAACGAAACGAAACAAAAACAAAAACAAGAAAGTAAAAATGAAACCAAAACATTTCTTAAATTCTAGTGCCATAGCTTTTTTTTGTTGTTTGTTTTTTGTTGTTGTTTTGTTCATAAGAAAGAGAGAAAGATATTACTTATCCGTCAGACACATGCATCCTCATGTGGTCGTTGAACTGCTCGATTTGGTCAAACTTTGCTGGACAGACGGAGCAGACGTAAGTGGTCCCCTCCGTGCAGGCCACCACACCTGGGGGGCCAGCGCGGGCTCCCGGGGCTGTGCCCGTGGGAGGGGTCCCGTTACTGGCACTGTGCAGGGCCACGTGTCGCTCCAGGAGGGTCTTGTGGGAGAACTTCTTTTTGCAGATGTAGCACTCATAGGACTTCTCCCCCCGGTGGAGGCGCATGTGCACATTGAGCGAGCTCTTCTGGGTGAAGCGCTTGTTGCAGATGCTGCACTGGTATGCCCTCACTCCTGTGTGTGTCACCATGTGCTTGATAAGGTAATCCTTTAAGGAGAAGGAGCGCCAACAGATGCTGCATTGGTGGGGCTTCTCACCTGTTGAGGTGGGAACAGACAGCAGGCAGGACAGAGCGAGACATAGCGAGGGAGGGAGAAAGAGACAGAAAAACAAGACAACAAAAAACAAAAACAAAAAAATTAAAAAAATAGTCTGATTCATTAATGGATCCCTCTTGATTGGAAAGATCCAGTCCTTCCTGGCCTCTTGTGTGCTGAGAAACCTTGCTTTAAGGTGATGCCAGGGAAGTCTAGAGTTTCCTGTTTCCCTGTGTCAGAAATGGCTTTCTTGGAAAGCTACAAGACATTCCCCACTAAAAATCTTCCAAGGTCATCCTGTGGAGAAAAGGAAGGGCTACTTTAAGGGGGTCATTTTCAGTGTCATCATTAGGGGATTTATATGTGTTTCCCATTAACATTATCAAAAAATATACGAACTAAGAGAGAGGGAAGATTTTTGGAGACATGGGGTTCTCTACAATCTTTGGGAACTAAGCACAGTGATCACGTAGCTCACCTCTCCATTTCCAGTATTCTATTCAGTAAACACGCTCGTGCCTTGATTTTAGGCCTGGCAAACATTGGCCAACACAGGAATAAGTCATTTGAAGAGCTACACTTGCAAGTTTATCTAGTTTAGATGGAAAGCTTCCTAAAACACAACTTAAGAGTTAATTGGCTCTTCTGTCTTGACTTCACTGAACTGCAGATAGGCCTCATCTGGTGTGGAGGTTGGGTAGGTGGTGAACAACACGATGCTCTCAAATGGTCCTGCTCCAATCCAGGCCCCAACATATGGCCCACCACTCTGATAAACCTCCCAATGCCTCTGAGGTACACAGTCCTACTTACCTCACGGTGCTGGTGTTGACATAAAAAAAACACCACATGTGAAATCACTTTGCAGACCACCAAGAGTGGTGTGGGAATACTTGCACGGTATTCTTATTACAGCACTACCCTCCCTCTCTCCACTGCCCATTAAATGTTTCCATATGCTTTTTGTGAACTCTTGGGTCAATTTTAAAAATAGTTTTCTCCTTTACTCTGAGTCTGTTGGCTGGAACTCTTTCCCCTCAGTTTACTGCTTTGGTTTGCTGTTGACTTAAGAAACCAAACTATTGAGCATGTGAAAAACAGTAAGGTAAGTATGAGTATTGTCAATGAATGGCCACACGAGGTGTTCTGATCTAAGTAAAGTCCATAGACCCGTGACATCTCTTTGGATAAATAGGGACTTGTTTTTCTTGTTAGTACTGTTTGTTCTCAGCTCTGCTCTTGACAGGTGAGATGAACTACATTACGGTGTTTCTATCTCCCACATAATTTCTGATTGTCCACCTCAGAGAATAAAGCCCTTTTTCTCTTCCACAATCGAGCCGAAAGACCCCAAAGCCTTTGAAGTTCTTAAAGGTAATATTTTTTTTCTTTTTTTTAAATATATTTTTTTATTGATTTTTTACAGAGAGGAAGGGAGAGGGCTAGAGAGTTAGAAACACCGATGAGAGAGAAACATGGATCAGCTGCCTCCTGCACACCCCCTACTGGGGATGTGCCCGCAACCAAGATATATGCCCTTGACCGGAATCGAACCCGGGACCTTTCAGTCTGCAGGCCGACGTTCTATCCACTGAGCCAAACCAGTCAGGGCTAAAGGTAATATTTTAACATCTGGACAATGCATCAAGGTAGGGAATCTATGTCTTAAATTTGAGTTATCTTCAATTAAAATTTGCACCTCTGTGTTTCCATTTCCCCCCATTATGCGTCATAGTAATAATGGCGATGAAAACACTCACCATGTATTGGGTGCTTAATATGTGCCAGACTCAGTGTTGGTGCTTTACGCTCATGATCTGTTTTATGAAAGTTTATCCTACCAGACAGCTTCTTCATTGTGTTTGTAAGCATAAAAGGATATGTTTCAAAGCACACGATCGTAAGAAATGGCTGTTTTGTTCAGGAATTACTCCACAAATTTCTTAATTTCATGGACCTTTGCACTCTTTTTCCTTTACTTATTCACAAACATTTTGGCCTGCTGCCTGCTCTTCTCAACTCTCTTCTGATTGCCTTTCCCATTTTCTTAATGTTGGGACAGAATGATCCATAGGACCACAGGGTTAGAAGAGAAACATTTGTTTCACTTTTAGACTAAAATGAGGGAATTTCAGGAAGCCTCATTCCTAAATGAAGAGTTCTGCCTCAGCATGGTATTTATTTACATAGATACATTTTTTTGAAATGAGAGACTCTAGGGGGGAGAGTCATGCCTGTTATTTTTAGTTGAAATGTTTCTGTCAGCTGTAAACACGTTTGGAACTCTCGCTGGTCTTTGCCTTCCTGGAGCTCTCGGGACACTTTCTAGAGGCCATGACAGGCCAGCCAACTATCTTTAAAACATGTCCACCTGTCACCTTTAATGGGACACACGCCTTCTTAGGTTCCAGATGGCATTTGGCTGCTAGGAAGTTAAAATTTTGTCTATGTTAAAGAGCTCTCACTCCTTGAAACTTTTACCTTCTAGTGCGTTTTTCCTCCAGGCAAGGTCACTGGTGAAGGCTTTTTACTTTCACACCCTTCTCATCTGCCTGTAAGTTGTTTCTTCACAGTTGTCAGCTTTCCTTTCATAGCACAGATCTGTATGTAGTTTGCATGCACTGAGTGTTGTTTTGGCAGTTAGTTACCTGTGCAACCCTGGGCTTTCCCAGTGTCTTCATCTCTCTGGGTGTGTGTCCCTTCTGAAAGTGAGGAGCGGGACGGAACCTCTGTCATGGTCCTTTGCAGATTTGGTGGCCACCGCAGTCCACCACCCCTGAGGACTCATCAGTGTATGACCTGAGCGCAACCTGCTTAAATCCCTCAGTGCATCCACAGTTCTGCATTTTAAATGGGGCAAAGTGCCTGCCACAGAAAATGGTATCACAGTTAATGAGGAGACATGTTTGCAAAGTAAGCACTTGGGAGCCCCTTGGAGGAAAGGGACTGTCTTGCTAAATGGGGTGTATTTTTAGAGTAGTCGGGTATCCACAAATTTCATTTCTATATGTTTGGATTTGAAACAATATCACTCAGTGGAAATGGTAATATTTTTCCTTTCCATTATTTCCCTGCATGTTACTTATAGCAATCCCACAGGGGCTTTCAGCATTGTATATGGCAGGGATGTGGTCTGCTGGCTGTTGCTTTGGGTGGAGAATTGAAGTTAAGATGAGTGGTGGTGGATAGTTTTCCAGGCCAGAAATGACAAGTCCGATTTGTTAGATTCAAAGCAAAAACAAAACAAAACAAAAAACCTAAAACACCACACCATGAAGTACAAAACAGACACTAGAATTATAATGTGAGGGGGAAGCTCACATAAGCCCCTTAGCTTTAAAATGATCCACTTTGAGGCTAATCAGATGTAGGAGTCAGATATGAATTCAATTTCCTTGGCTGGTGACTCGGGCATGTTACTTAACCTCTCTAAGCCTCAGTTTCCTTATCTGTAATTTGAGAATAATACAGTAAGTACCTGTCTTGTGAAGGTATTTTGAAAATTAAAGAGATAAGGCACTTAGCACAGAGTATGTGACCATTTTAAGAAAAATTCAAATGTTCCCTTTGGCACAAAGGAACTGATGATAAATGAACCCAGTGGAGAAACGGACTGGGTGGTGTGGGGAAGCCAACTCAGGATTTGGAAAACAATGTGTCAGATAGTCAATACTGTACTACGTAATTCAGAGTTAAAGGTATATAGACTATTCTCAGTTACTTATGCTCATGGAGAGAAGTGGTGCCATGAATAAAATGTCAGCAATTAGCACAGACAGAGGATTTCTTATCAAGCAACAACTGAGCTCTGGGGATGGAGAAACCAGACAGCAATCAGAGGAATCGAGGTTGGGGGGGGGGTGCAGTGTCCTTTACTAGTCTTTACTATTCCAATGATGGGAGGGTGGTGAATGCATAACTTTTCTCTCTTTTTTGATGCATGTTCTCTAAAGATCCACTTTTCAGTTCCTTCTCATGCACCAGCACTGACACTACTTTACCACCACTGGGGAGGGAGTGAAGAGAGAGAGAGAGAGAGAGAGAGAGAGAGAGAGAGAGAGAGGAAGAGAGAGAGAGAGAAAGGAAGAAAGATACTGTTAGGTTAATAGATACAGAGAGTCTGCCCAAAGTTCAAGTAAAAGATATCCTAATGGGCTCAGCCACCCCAATTCTGAATAGTGACCTCTATATTGGGGGCTCAATAAGAACCCATTTATTCTGCTAATTCTTTCTCATTCTAACTAGGCTTTTCCTGGGCTGCAGAAAGGAAAGTGAATACTTTTCTGAGCACTGTTCCCACCTGTCTCTCTCATTCTCTAGGCTTCCCCATCATCTTCTCTGGCACAGCACCTCCTCAGATAAGCACCGTGAGGGGTCAGAAGACCAAACCTGGGTGCGTGGTGAGAGAGCGGGCATCAGGGAAGGTGGCTATGGGCAAGGAAAGCAGAAGGGTTCCTGAAATTACAGGTCCTCTGAATGGGGAAAGTCAAGATTGGAGCAGAAAATGGGAAAGGTTCAGTGACAACATGGAAAGGTGCTCAGAGGGAATCAGCCCTCACTGACTGCAGAGTCTGCTCTTTACTGAGAAGTCCAGTTGGTGATGGGCCTGCACAACTGAGGTGTAAACTGCCTGCCAGCCTTTCTCTCTAGTTCCGGGGTGCAACCCAGTGCCAGCTTGGTCTACGAAACTCTGCTGGGGGAGGGGCATTGCCTCTTGGGGACACACTGCATTCCCAAAACATCAGTGGCTTTAATAATAACTAAAATATTTTGGTGTTAAGCAGAATTTGGAAGATCTCAGGGAATTTCACCCATATTACTTGACTTTTCTTACAATTTTAGGAGTGGGCTAGATATTAACCTCCCCAGAAGATGGTATCTCCATTAGAGAGGTATAGTAACATCCTGAAGGTCACTCAACAAGTCAGTAATAGCTGAGAGTATGATCCCAGCCAGCCCAGGCAATTTCCTGCTCTCTGGATTCTGCTGCAAAATGTATG